CCCACCAACACTGACAGACAGACTGTTTCGACCTGTTGGGTCTCATCAGTGTCACGAGAGACACGCTTCAAGCCAAGCAACCGCCCACCTATATACTAGTTGGGCGACCTGGACAGCGGCGAGATGCAGCGGCAAGGTAATATGGTGACATCTACCGTCTATAAAAAGACGTGGCCTCACTGTGCGGCGGTGCAAATGTATGCACACGAGACACACTCAGTGGTAGGTTTTATCCAACCATACAACGGCCCAAAAGAGTCGATTAGCTTACCGAGCTATGCGGAAAGTGTAAAAAATGCCATTTGTTACCCTCGACCCCAAAGATATTCACAATAATAAAATGTTTTATGGTTTTAATTAAAATAAACACATATTTACTTACCACTAGAGACCTCAAACAAATAATCACAAAACAATAAACTTTATGACAAACATATAACAATCTGTCGCAGGGTGGAATTAATCATATTTAACCGACGCTACCATAGAAAAAGGACGCTTCTTTATCTTCTGTGTTCGGCGGCAGTGTTGTCAGACGTTTAAATAATTTCAGAAAGCTCATCAAAATGGCGGTTATATTATTAAATCTTTAATACTTAATTAATTAGTATACCTATTATACCTATTTGACATAAATGTGGTGAATAATTATTTTAAATTTATTTAATTTATTTATTAAAACTTAATAAAGTACGGAAATATATTTCGTTTAGTTATTTTGCTTATAACCGGCAACACTGAAGATTCTCAAATTCAGCGCGTGAGTAGTACATATATGAAATGAGTCGTATAGATTCAAAACCCGCCAAATCAATTTATTGAAAGTAAAGGACAGTAGATATGTTTGCAATACATATTAATTATGTTGTTATGGAAACATGTCTTCTGTCCTTTACTTTCAATAAATGGATTTGGCGGGTTTTGAATCTATACGACTCAAATACAATAATAAACAAAAAGGACTTTTTTAAGTAATTTTTTATTGTATTGCAGACTGTCATATAATATATATTATTAACAGAAATAATATTATTAATATATAAATATTATTATCTGGGTAAAGTGAACATTTCAAAATTAAAAATTTCGTAGCTCTTGGCAAAAAATCAATTTAACGTAAAGTCGTTTTTTTTACATATGCTAGTTTAAACCATCACAAAATCCCACATGTATACATACAAGTATATATACAAGATATCCATATCAGTTATCCACCGGATATCCAGTGGATATCCAGTGGATATCCAGTGGATATACTTTGGACATACATTAGTTATCCATTGGATATATATTAGAGATACTTTGTTGAAATTGGGTTAATAACGATTTAAATCATATTTATTAATCATTACATAAATTTATCCTATAAGGGGCTATTTTAAAAAAGAAAAAAATATTTTTAATGTTTTTGTTTTTTTTTGAACATCCAGTATGGATATCCATCGGATATCCAGTGGATATCCAGTGGATATACATTAGATGTACAGTGGATATACTTTGGACATACATTAGTTATCCATTGGATATATATTAGAGATACTTTGTTGAAATTGGGTTAATAACGATTTAAATCATATTTATTAATCATTACATAAATTTATCCTATAAGGGGCTATTTTAAAAAAGAAAAAAATATTTTTAATGTTTTTGTTTTTTTTTGAACATCCAGTATGGATATCCATTGGATATCCAATGGATATCGTAAAAGGCATGGATGTTATATGGACATTGGGATAGCCATTGGATATCCATTGGATAGCGTGTTCTGTGTGGGATTCATATTTATCATGTGTCACATTGGTGACGTAAAATGTACGTTGTGTTTTGCACCTAATACGCTAAAGTAAAATAAAAGGCATAGACTGGACGGTATAGTGACGTGCTCGACAGCACCTTTTATTTTTTAACGTAATTTTTACGTAAATTGAACATCACTAAAAAACGTAGTTAATGTGCCTTAAAATTGACAATTTTTAAACGTCACTGTGACATCACCACATCCAAAATGTTCAGTGGGTTGTAAGGTTACTAATTTAGTATTATTGTAATAATTGTCAAATGGGAAATGAAAAAATAAAATACACTTAAGTGTATTTTATTTGCGTACAAAATTTCAATGTTTATTAAATTAAAATTATACTATTACATTAAAAGTCATAGTCATCAATGTCTTCAGCTGCACTTTCTTTAATAGGTTAAAGAGCTCAATGACAGCAGGATGCAATGATTCATTACCTTTCACCTTTAATTTTTGTAAGCTTATAATAAGCGGGCCGAGGTTACAAGGAGCCGACAAAAAACGTCCGACATTGACTTTTCTCGAGAAGATTTTCTTGAAAAATTTTCGCGGTACTGACGAATATCTTTGCATAAATAATTTTTTCTGTATATTTGTTATCCTATTATAAAATCTTAAAAAATATATTTACTAAGCATCACTGCGTTTAACCGCGACTATAGTATACTGTCTCAAATCCGGGCACGAACGTGTATATTATTGTTTTATTAATTTTCGCGCAAGTGGCTGCAGCCAATTTTTTAAGAACCTTATAATAGACACTTCAATGAACGTTTCCCCGTAAAAAACGTCTTCCGCAAATGCCCACATTTTAACTTATTCCAAGTAAAAAAAAACGAAAAAATCGAAAAAAAATTAAAATCAGGCCATTATGTTCGTATAAATTTTAACAACAAATATTTTTTTTTCAAAAATGTAATTTTATAAAATTATTGTACATACCTTCAGAAACATTTTCCATTTTGAACTGTTAAAATCGAACAAGTCGTTAACGAAATAATAGCACTTTAGTGCACAATCAAAATCAACACAATAACTGTTTCCAAGCAATTGCAAAAAAGGGTTAAATAAAACTGCCCTATAGGGATCAGGTAGGGCGATTTTATACCTAAACTCTTTGGTTTTTAAATACTTTAAACATTTCTCTACTTGTATGAATTAAAATAATGTCATAATTAATAACTTTATTTTTGGGGTTTTGGCCAAGGTCAAGCACGATTTGGACCAGTGTGCGTCGTGTTACTTGGGTGGTATTCATTTTATTTATGGTTTTTGCAATGGTAATTCCCGTGACGCTGTACGAGATTTCGATACTCGAGTACCAAAGACGGTTTCCAGCAATAATACCACCATAGGAAAGTATTTAGCCGTGTACATAGAAATGTAGGCGTTTGCAGGGGCAAGGAAGGCATATGGGAAATTATGATTTGGAGGGGGGTGCTAAAAATTGTCCTCTTAGGCTTCTATAGAAGCCTTTAAAGCAGCGGTTCTTAACCTTTTTGGCTGGCGACCCACAATTCAAAAATATTAGAAGCTCGCGACCCGATAAAAAATAAAATCATCAATTTTCTACATTTTCTTTATTTAAAGTAAGTTGAGCAGTGATTACGGCGCGCTTTTTCAAAAAGTCCCGCAAGTCCCGCGACCCATCTCGATATGGCCCGCGACCCAAATTTGGGTCGCGACCCGAGGTTAAGAAACGATGCTTTAAAGCCTTTAAAAAACAGCCCCCTGAATAGAAGCTTAAGAGAATATATTCTCTTAAGCTTCTATTCAGGGGGCTGTTTTTTAAACAAAAACGTTTTTGTTTAAAAACATGTCTCAAAAAATGCCCCCTGACGGAGCTACAGGGCTAGCCCCCTACCCTATTAAAAATGCCCTATAGAACCCATATTGATCCAGATAAGGAAACTAATATGGATTTATATGGTTCTATATGGAACGACCTGGTTTACACTTTGGAATCTATATGGTTTAATATGGAATTTCATTTTAAAATCTACAACTTAGGGATTTTTATATGGATTTATCTGGTTTCTGTTTTATGTGTTTTTCCATATAGGCCTATATGGTTGAATATGGAATTCCATTTTTAAATGTATATATATTTAAACGAAAATTGCATATTAAACCATATAGATTCCCCTATATGCATATAACCATGGTTAAATATGGATCTATATATATGGTAATAATTTTTTCACACCCAAACCATATTAGGCCAGATAGAGCAATATGAACCTATATGGCAATCCATATAGAAATCACTTTTCTATATGGTTTTCCAGGTATGGAATTCTATCTGGTTCAATAGTGCAATGCCTGTTTCAAATTCCTATATTGAACCAGATAGAACCATATAGATTTTTATTTTGTGTTTCTATATGGCATTTTTAATAGTGTAAGACAACAATTTTTAGCGTAGGTATACCTACTTATAAGTACGTGTTATTTTTCTTTCACTGAGAAAAAATGGGACAAATAAACTGTGTACCTAATACTTTTATTAATAGTGAATATAAGTATTGTTTATTACCTATAAATAGTCGAAATAATAACGATAAATTTACTTTAGTAAAACTTTATGTGTCCTGATCAGGAATAAAAATATAGGTATTTAGGATAAATAAACAATGCTTCTGTCCCATATTTAATTATTCTTTTTATTTGGGAACCATAAACTTTTTTCTCAGTGTTGAAGAATGCACTGTTTAAGTTTGGCCCCCTAATTTCGGGACACCCTGTATACATAATAATAATAATATTATGTTGCCATGAATTCGTAGGTATATTTTGTTGTTTAAAATGCAGTTGTCGGCGTTTTTTAGAGAACTCAAATATAAAAATGGTTGATTTTAAAGTTATGTTTGTGCAAAAATTATTTTTTGCTAATTTCTTAAAAATTTTCAAACTGAAATATTAATTACCTAAGTATATTGGGTACGATAAAGGGCGTTTTAAAGGTGGGAGTAGAAAAAAAATATTGTCGCTGTGATAAAAACTATGGAATACTGGCATTTTATTGGTTCTAATTATAATGAATTGTATTCTCAACCCATTATTCAGATAGTTAAGATTCCTACGATTCAATAAAATTTAATAAATCGCGGGAGTTTAGGGACACCTGTTGAATAGCATGCAAACCAAAATTTAAAAACATAGATTACTTTTTTAAGAAAAATCTTACAGGTACCTGTAAAAAAAACTCAAATGTCATATGTCAGTTTTTTTGTAAAATATTTTGTGAAATTATTTATTTATTAAATAAAATTTATTATTAATGTGTAATAAATACATTTTTGGTAGCATAAAAAACAAATCGTTAGTTTTGTTATAATGTGATAAACTTATAAATAGCTTTCATTAGGCGAAAATTGTTAAATTTTGCACCGAATTGTTTATACTGATAAAATATGACATTGATAGAAGGTATTGGTGACGAAGTTACCCATTTTTTTATTGGTTTATTTGTGATTTTAACTGGTGAGTTAAATTACCTCATATTTTCTTAATTTTTAATGTTACCTTCAATTTTATTGTCAGTATCTATAGCTTGGTGGACCACCAATATATCAGAACAAAGGCATATACGAACCGTACTTCTACTTGATAGAAGACACAGAAATCCCCACAGATCTTACAGAACCCTAACAAACCATACAGAAAGTGTAACAATAACAGAAGGTAATCATTTACGCAATATGGAACAAATGCTTAATTTGTCTATTTAACATCTAGGGACACCTGCAATGTCCAGGTCAGCCTCTGAGGGGGACCTTAATAGACACATTGAAGAAGTATCACCTTCACCAGAGACATCCAGTACTGTCAAACCTGAAGAGGGCACCAGTGCTGAAGTCCAAACATCTAGTACCGAAGAGACTGAACAAAACTCCATTATTGAAACTATGGACTCGGAAAATTGTGAACTTAGACAAAGACGGATAGCCTTTTATGATAACTGTTATAACACTGCTGGTAAGTTAATTTTTATTTCTTTTAAACCTAATTTAATAACTAATATGATTTATAGGTGGTAATAATGGAAATGCACAGACACATACAGAATCTAATGAAACTGAAACTATCATGGAACATAATTATGCTGAAAGAAAAAATACAACCGAAGCTGAAAATAAAACAGAAACAAATGCTGAAAAACTAGAAATTAATGAAAATAGTATAATAATTAAGCTTAAATATATTAATGATGATTTAAAACCAGTAAATGGAAATTTGGAGGAACTGTTGGGTGATTTTAAAAAGTAAGTATCTAGCAGAACCAAGAAACCGGCTGTTTTCAGTAGCATAGCATTCCAAATTTTAGTACTAAATTTTAGGCAAAGTCTATATCAACTATCCCACCTCTTTCTATTTACAACTATATAAATATAAAAACAACTATGTTTTGAAAGTTTCACATTCTGAAGGAGCTACTGTATAGCAAAACAATTGTCAACATTTAATAAATTATGTGAAACTTTCAAAACATAGTTGGAGTTGGAGTTTCATCAAGTAAAGGTTGAAACAATTAATAATTTATATTTACTTTTTACTTTTTACTATTTCTTCTGATAAGAATTATATGGGGCGCCGTTTTATTTTTTATTCAGGAATGATTTGTATGTGTAAAGTGATATTTTCAGTTAAATAAAAATATCTTATACAATTTTTTTTTCTGTGAATTAAAAATATAGTAGATGTTTAAAAATTACATTAAATTTTCATGCCAAATAGATATTTTTAATTCTATTTAATTTTAATTTTTTTAAATAAAAATAAATAAATAGATTCTGCCACTTTGAATGGAGTGCACCTTAAATAGTTTAAATAAACTATATGTTGTTGACACTTTTAAACCTATAATCCTAAACCAAAACAGGTTGTGGTTCAGGCATATAATGTAGATGTGCTAACCTGGCCTCTGCTAGTGCTGATCAATCCAATCAAAAATATTTATATATATTATATTTTTATGCCAACGGTGTTTGGATATTTATTTTTGCGCCAGATTCGTACATTGAGAGAAAATGAATATCCAAACACTGGTGGCATAAAAAATCATGTGATTTTTTATGACCAAACACCGGATATTTATTTTTGTGGCACATTCGTTCATTGAGAGAAAAAGTATACTTACATATAATATATATTATATATATTATATTGAATCAACAGTTTTTATGGTTAAATACATTCAATATTTTTTTGGATTTAAATTAATAGTTAATTTACATCCAAGAAAATATTAAATGTATTTAACCGCAAAAACTGTTAATTTAATTGTTAACATACATTTTCTCACAATGTACGAACGTGGCGCAAAAATAATTATCCAAACACCGTTGGTATAAAAAATCACGACATGATTTTTTAGGCCATCGGTCATTTGTCACGCAGTGACATCCGGATGATGTCCGTATGAATAAAATTTGTGAAAATCACGACGTGACGTTCGTATGATATCAATATGAATAAAATTTGTGAAAATCATGACATGATGTTCGTATGAATATCACGAAAACGTTCACGTTTTTTTAAACATTGGAATATCTTTTTTAATTGAAGCCGGACAACTTTCGTGATATTCAAACAACGTTTATAAATTATAACGGTGTAATGTGAATAACAAACTAGGTTTTAAATTCGCAGTTCGCAGGGCTCATACGCATGCGCAAATTTTGCAAATATCACACCGTGAGTTCTACATGATATCACTGTGATGAAGCATGTGTATGCAATCAGGATATCACAGCGTGATAAAAAAAATCACGTTGTGATATCATGACTTCACCAGGAAATCCTGATTGTTGTCCGGGCTGTTCCATAATTTCACTTTTTACATCTGACAACACTGACCAATCGGCAGCAAGGAACACATTCCTTGCATCATGGGCACATATTTAAATATGTGATCATGGGCCTTGATGGCCCGGCCATCTAAGATGGGCACTTTTAAGGATTATAAACAATACTTAAGTGAAAACACATTTTTATCAATCGATGGCATATTGTTTATTTCAATCAAGAAAATTTTAGTAATTATTGTATTTTAATTAACATCCCTGCTTAAAATACCCCATAGAGACCTATACAAAATAATCTATCGGGCGCTACCGGATTCAATATGTGCATTTGTCCATGGTTTTTTCCGGATACAGCCCGATAGAAAATGTATAGGAAATTACCTATAGGCACACCATAACTTTTACATTTTCCCTATTGAGACTGATAGCAAATAACTCAATGAAGGATATATAGGGATATCCCTATAGAGCAACCATAAAACATTTGACAAAATTTTATTAAAACCTATGGGGTCCTATAGGGGAAAAACTAATTTCTACATTTATGTGTATTTTCCCCATTGAAACCGATAGCAAATAAATCAACGGTGGATATCCCTATAGAACAACCATAAATCTCAACTATGGGTCCTATACAAACCTATACACCCTATAGAAACACCATACATCCCGATACAAATATCTATCGGTTTGAACAGGGTCTCTATGGGGTATTTTAAGCAGGGATAGTAAATTAACCAATTCCTGGCAAATTCCTGGCATTTGAACTCTCCTGGCAAAATTACTGACAAGGAGCTTTATTCCTGGCAAATGCCAGTAATAACTATCAAATTGGCAAGGCTGAATAATAACAATTATTAAAAGTATACATTGAGGTTAGATTGCTCAGAGCTGTCAGCAGTTATCGAATTTTTGTATTGGTCCTTACGGGTTTTTACAAACAAGGATGTAAAAAACTTCACCTGATAGGTCTAAATTATTTTTTACAGCCTAGATAATCGAATACTTTTGTAGTAAGTCTTGACAATACTAAACTTAAATTATAGAATGCTTAAAGATAAAAATTATTATACGCTTAAAAAAACAAGTTTAACTCATTATAAATAAGTTTTCGGAAAAATTTATTTACCATAAAAATAGAAAAATAAGGATTTTGTAAAAAATTAAATTTTCGTGATAAACTAAAAATATCAGTTTTGATTAACAAAATATTTAATTAGTATTTATTTTTTGGACTTGGCATGGCACCACATGGTATATTTTAATTATAAATAGTAGGTACCTACATCTTGTATTACATTACTCTTTTAATAAAGTCTATTTTTATACAACCAAATTATCTTCAAAACCCTGAAAATGTGAATAGTTTACCTTTTATAACTTGCTAAAATATTTTGTAAATTCAAAAAGCCTGATCGGCGAATGTTTTACCTTGCTTCATCAATTTAAAATGATAAAACGCTGCAGCTAGTGCACCGCGTGCGGTGGTCTATTCTGCACCGCGGTAGGAAATTTGGTAATTGTTAAGGAAAGGATATATAGAAATAATTCACCGTTAAATGTAAGTAAATGCATGTAAAACTAAATAAAATAATAAAACTAAAACAAACAAACCAACCAACGCAAACAACTTAAACACACACCTAACCCAAAACTTTTCAACATAGGGATATAAAATAAATAAAAAAGTTGGGGCATCGATCCCGATACCGCTTGCCAAGCGAGCGCTCCACCAATGCCTCGATACCAATTCATAACGTTCGGGAAATTTATAAAAACACTCCTCGCAGTGCAGGATAAAACACCGCACGCGGTACACTAGCAAGAACGATGTTATAAAAACCTGTTTTACGATATACGTAGTCTCGGTCCGGCGAATGTTTTAACTTGCGTCTTCAATCTAGAATTGAATAGGATAGAATTGCTGAATGTAAGTGCCGCAGCGTGCAGATATGTGAGTTTGGATAAGAAATTGATGGTGCAAGATAAAACATTCGCCGCTCAGACCCACCATTTTTTTTTTTAGACGACATTTTGAAACAGAATTAAATTCAAACAAATTGGTTCGGCTAATTTTTAATGGTCACGTTTTGCAACAAGACGCTGAGACACTGCGAAAATGTGGTCTTTTTGACAACTGCGTGGTGCATTGTTTAATTCATCCCAAGAGGACGCCGCCTGGTGGAGAAAGCGGCACCTCGAACAGGGGCAGTACGGACGAGCAAAACGCTCAAGAGGGTTTGGGGGTTGGTAATTCCAACAATAATCAACAAAGAGATTGGGATTTGGGCAATATTCTCTTTGGTCTTATTAGTTTTGTGCTTATAGCCGCATGGTATTTCAGGTAAGTCCTAGTGAAGATTTTCCTTAAAAAATTTTTTATTAGGGCACTAGGAATAGTATTAAAAGTTCCAAGCTAAATCTTGCCGGCGCATCTAAGGATATTTGAAAAAAAAAGTTGGCAAAATTATTTTATCCATAGACATAATAACAGTGGACGCGTAACGCCTACTCTTGTTCATTGAAGAGTTTAAAAAATAAACCGGATGAAACCCCGAAGCGACAAGTTTGTTAAAATACAATGTTAGTTTGTTCTGAGTTCTGAGAGCCTTTACCGCTAAAATAACCTTTTCGATGATAACTTAAAATTAGCTTATAAAGGTAATAAATTTATTTATTCTAATCAGTATCTCTTCCCAAATAAACAAATGTACGGTCTTTTATTTAGAATTATTTCATTTTAAATTAAATAAAGCCACTTTTTGGGTTCAGTTTTGTTTTCAAGTTCTGATTACGCGTCCACTCTTAATATGTCTATGATTGTATCATTGATATAGGGTTATAAGGTGTCAAATATGATTTACAAGGTGATATATATACATGACTATCATATTTTTTTATGTAATTATGCTGTCCGAAAATAACGTTAGTGATTCTACACGTAAAAATAAAAGAAGAAGTTGCTATAAACAGATGTCCGAAAATGCTTCCTGGGGCACCACTTTCACTGTCACCACTGACAAAATAAAGATATTGCCTACTAATTCGCTTGATATTTTTTTGTGGCAAGACATTTTTAATAGCGTTTTTCTCGAAAATGGTTGGCTCCATGAATTTGTAATAAGAGCGCCTTTTTTACGTAAAATTATCTGGAGAATTTAATTCCAAGATCGAGATTTTAACAAAATCACACAAAAAAAGTTGGGAGGATTTTTTCCCGGAAGCCTATGGTCATAATTTATCCGATTTGACACCTCCAGATGCACAGCAAACGAATTAATATAGAAGTGTATTGGATGACGCCACGTTAAATACAGTTTTATAAAAACTCGCCAGGGTATAGAGTTGTATTCGTCAATCAAGCGTTACAATACTCTCCACAGTATAGAGGTCGTAATTTCACTTTTAAACTAGTATTAATATAAAAATTATTTTATGCTTGAAAAAAACTATATACGACATGATTGTGATTCTTTTCATTTTATTAATTAACCCGTAACCGGTACTGTGGTGTCTGGGAGACACTCATCAACGAACAAAGCCCTGTCCCACCCTCACCTTTTGTTTTAAAAATCTGTCGCTTCCAATACTTTTAAGTTGAGTAGTTATCAATATGCTCTCAGACTTTGAACAAGTTGGATTGTCAAACGGACAAATTATTACAAGTCAAAGTGTTGAGGTGTCTAGTAGACCACTGTGTACCGTTTACGTAATTTTTATAAAACAATTAATTCGTTATGGATTCGCAACAAGGGCCTTCTAAATGTGTCCAAAGTGATAAGAAGGGCTTCAAGGAACTGTAATGTAGTGGTTTTATGAAATCTACAGCGATATAAGTGATATAGATGACTTAGTATACTACATAACCATTATAGTGATTATGTCGTTGAAGATAATCACAGCATCGATTCAGGACTTGTCTGTGAAGAGTCTATTGAAAATAATTTTATTGGGTCAGATAGTGAAGAATTTGAAACTTTTTAATAATTTGAAAAAAAAAACAAAAAAGTTACTACGGAAAAAATAATTGTAAAAATCAGCTATAGTTCACAGGTGGCTGGAAAGAAAAAAAGGTTTTCCCACGATGCCTAAACAACTCATTAGCATCCGGTGTTTCCTTAGCTCCCCCTGAGATGATAAAACTTCATCCTTAAATCGTAGCTGTTCATTTGAGGAAAAACCACCCCATTTTATGGGTGATGATTAGAAAGTTAAAAGTGATTTTAAATTGGCAGAATACATATTTAAGAAAGAAAAATTTATTTAACACAAGGAACATGATAATAAATAAGTTATACATTTTTTAAATATGCTTGGAAGAAAAGTCCACTACCGCTTCCTTTAATTTCACAGCATAATTCTGGTCCATGAGGTTATTTAATTTTCGCCGGTTCCAGAACTTCAAAAATTCGCGATAGATTGATTCTCCTGCTTGCTCCGACCAAATGCCAAATCCTTCCTCTAGGCATATGTGGCCGCAAGAGATTTTTTTAACTCAGTTATGTACATATGCAAGTTTCCGCCAAGCCTCATATTCGAAAAACAATCATGAACTATTTTATCGAGTGCTTTAAAAGCTGACACATACGGGACTAGGGCTAGCGGACCACCAATATGATCACACAATTTATGACATAATAAAAAATCAGGTTCTTTCAACATCTTTCTACATGAATTTCCTTCAAAAGAATCACCGTGGTAGTTTTTAGATATTAATTTTAGATGCTGCGGCCAGATTAAGGCTTTTTCTTTTCCCAAAAGAGGCACTAGGCCTCTCCAAAAAATGTGCTTAACAAGACCTTGCAATTCCGGCATTACGCATTTTTCAATAACAGGCATGTCATCGGGCTCGGAAAATAACGGAGGGTTGATGGTGCTGTGGCTTGATTTGGCCGATTTTTTATTGCCACCAAAAGATATAAATTCCTTGTAATCTTGTCGCAAATTTCCGTATGTTTTTACCACAAGATCCTGTTCATCATTCTCGAGTTCGATCCGAGTTTTTAACTTTTGTAAAGTTACGAAGCAATATGGACTAGGGAAGGTTGCGGTGGCAGTTTGTTGTCCATTAATGATCAGAAGCAATTTAAAATCCGCAACGAACTTAAACGAAATATCATTGATCTTTATTAAGTCGAACAGCTTTTTGACATTTTCATAACTTTCTTTGATGTGGGGCACAATACACAGCATGATTAATTTATGTACACTGGTTAATTTTTCAACCTTTAGTCTCTTTACCCGAGTAGTATCTGTAGCAAGATCTGGATCAGACACATAATATTCCGGCAGTATAGTCATACACACTTTAAAAAATCCCTGACCATCTGCCATTATTTTGATAACATAGTTATCAACTAAACTTCTCCTCTGAATAACCTCCTCCAGTATTTCTTCTGAATTACACCACACTACAGGTCTTTTCTGTTGAACTTTCAATATCAAAATCTAATATCTTATATCTGTAAAAATCTTCCAAAACTCTAGCCCTTTCTGCAACTTGCTTGGAATAATGAGCAGGTATTGATTTTCGACCAGCATTTGCTCGAATAAATGTAGCCAATTTTTTCATTTGTTGTTCTGAAGAACCCGAATGAACCTGGTAGGTATGTAAACTTTCAAAAGAAAGCACGATAGGTTCAGCCGATTTTTTGAAATACAGTTTTCTTTTCCGCCCCCCTGTACTTACAGTCAATGAATCAACTTTATGTCGTGTCGATAATAATACACTCTTTTCTTTTTGATGTATAAGCTCACTACAAACCTGCTCTTTTTGCTTCTGTGGGAGATTATTAGTTAAATGTAATATATTTTCTGCCAGCTTTCTTTTTGAACGAGTATGTTTTGTACAGGTGTGAGATATGCCCCTTCCAATTTCTTGAAAACATTGGTTGCATAAAGTTTTGGCATTTTTTTCCTGTTCTTTCGGTGTTACGGGTGCTAACTTGGTCACTTTTGAATTTCGCGATCCAAACTGTCCAGTTTTAGTCTCGATTTTTAGAGATAAATTCAGGCTGTTACCTACTTTATTTTTTTTTTCATATTGACTGATCCTTTGTGACGCCCTGTCAAACAAATATAACACTGGCAAATTGCATCTTCATCACTTGCTCTAGTTTTTTTCGGCAGAAAAATGTCTTCATAATTCGGCATTGTCTTAAAAGGCCTTTGAAAATTATTTTTAGAATGTTCTGCAAGTATCTTGCGACAATTACAACAAATGCTAAGAGGATATTTAGGATTAGAGATAGAAAAATTGGTATTTATGAATTGCTGTATAAGCTTTTCGCCATTTTCTGTAATAGGGAAATATTCCATTTTTAGATTTCCGAGACTAATTTTTCTCCCGCATGGTGCACAAAGCTTCCTTCTATTTTCTTCATGGTCACAACGGTGGTCACAAGGATGGGGCATTTTGATTTTGAAAAGTTCACAAATATATATATATATATATATATATATATATATTAATTTACTAGTTTATACTAATTATATAACTCACTTCTCAAGAAAACAAATTATCTATTAATTTGTTGGGTTGTCATATCATGACAAACACCCTTCCCTCTTTTTGTAAAGCTATCGTATCGCTTTTTGCAGTTTAACTGTTTGATATATGGATTGTGAATCTTTCGTATAGGTGATGTTTCGATTTCGAGTTTTTTTTATTGAGAATATGTTTTTGACAGCTTGTATCTAAATAGAGAACCCCTATAAGAATACACATATGCTAGGATTAAATAGATATTGTCAAAATTATTTTAAAAACATTTTTGATCATTCGAAAAAAAATTGGTAACCCCTGAAACACAGAAAGGGGTGATTCTTCCCTAAATGAACAGCTACAATTTAGGAAGGAAGTTTTCTTGTGTCAGGGGATGCTAAGGAATCACAAGGTACCAATGATTTTTTTTGGCATCGTGGGAAAACTTTTTTTTCTTTCCAGCCACCTGTGAGTTTGAAGCAGTTATTTTTGCTGTTAAAAAAATATATATTTGAATTTTTTTTTATGTTATTTTTTAAAGTAATTTCTTCGAAATAAAGATCGTTTTATTTTGTTTGGTTTAATATTTTTTATAGTTTAATCACAAAGTTTTCACTACTGCACTTTTTGTACATGTTTTGATTAAAACCTATTTGTTTAAATTTTTCTTTTATTTAGGTATTATTTTTGGTGATATTCTAACTTTATATATAGTTCCTAGTATCCCCAAAGCCTCAGATTAAAAAAATAATATAAATTATAATTTTAAATGGCAGGTGTCTCTCAGACCCCTTAGTACCGTTTATGACCTGAAAGTCGTACAGTACCGGTTACGGGTTAAGCTGTGTTGAATATTTTTC